GACTCTATTTACTAATTAGGTGATTTCTGAAGGCAGTTGGTTGCACTAGATTTTAGTTAGAGGTATCAGAGTAAAGGGGGTTGAATACAAATGCACACCACACTTTTCAGATATTTATTTGTAAAAAATGTTGAAAACCATTTATTATTTTTATTCCACTTCACAATTATGTGCCACTTTGTGTTGGTCTATCACATAAAATCCCAATAAAATACACTTACATTTTTGGTTGTAACATGACAAAATGTGGATAATTTTAATGGGTATGAATACTTTTTCAAGGCATTGTATGGGGAAATGTGCAAAGTATTGCAGAGATGAACAGCATACATTCTTATTGGACCAGTGTATTTAGCTACAAATATTAAATGTGACCAGCTATAGAGGGCTGTCTTCCTAGTAAAAGGTTAGATTTCTCATTGCAGTATAGAAAATGTAGCTGTCTGCCTCGTGATAGATTTCTTTAGCAGGTTATTGAATACAATGGAAGTTTTAATTTTTAGAATTGTCCTTGTAAGTTGCACCCAGGGGGGACTGACCATTTGGAAACTCGGGCACTGCCCGAAACCCGGGGTCAGTAGGGGCCCCATGAGATGCCCCTGGTACCTTTTCATAGGCTTTTTTGAGTTTGGGCAGGGACACAGGGGCCCCATGATCCCCTATTGCCCGGGGGCCCCATGAGTTGTCAGTCCGCCCCTGGTTGCATCTGAATGGCTAAATAGGAATCTGAGGTTCCAGGTTTACAAGCCCTTAAATCAAGGGGGGTAGAGGGGGGTAGGGGATAGCACAAATATAGCTTGCTGATACAGGTGAAAGGAAATTACAGATGCTATTGAAAATGTCACTGAATCTTGTCTTTTTACTAAATGCAGTTCACCCATTCAATATTTTTTCCCGTTCTTTCACAGGATCAAAATCTCTTTCCAAAATTATGTTTTTTTCTAGTGCGATCAACAACCCGGACACAGAAACTGACATGTTTGAGGAATCTTCATTGCCTGCGACAGGTTTGTGTAACTATATCTTTATTTACTATATATATTTTGTACAGGATAGAACTGGGTGATCTTAGGGGCTCGTTAATAACAAACAGCCAATGTCACTATCTGCTCTTTTTTTACTTTGCACACGCTGTGTTCCGCCCATTCATAAAAATCGGTCCACGGAGTATAGATGGCAAAGCCCAGTGGAGTTCTCTCTGCTCAGTGCTTTTTAAAATGAGCCCCTTAGTGACTGTTGTCTCCTTTGTTAATGCACTTTACATGTGATTTTCTTATGGTTTTTTTTTTTTTTTTTTACAGAAGAGCCTTCTTCAAACCAGACAATTGCATCAGAAATTGGTAACGGTAAGTGTAGATTTATCTCTTTATATACATTATTTTGCTATAGATTTATGTATAACTCTTCTTTCTGTTCAGAAATGTTTTCTCCAAATCTCATTTTGCCTTCTCCTGAATTTTTTTTAACCCCTTATTGACTGAGGGTAAAACAAATGTTAATGCCTAAACACAATTTTGCAACTTTGAAATGTGTTAGACAAACTGTACATATCATTGCAACTACTTTGTGCATTCAGCTGGATTATACCTTGTTTTTGTCAGGACAAACTGGACTTTCTTTTTGGTGGTAAATGGTAACATATCTCCTGATTTTAATTTGTTTTTTAAACAAAACATTTTTATTTATTTGGCTGCATATTTCTTGCTACTACCATACACAAAGAACAGGCCAGAATTTTTCCTGCTCCTGACGATCGCAGCAGTACCACATGTGTATGTTAGTTGTTGTTTGTACCTGTAGTATAGCCCAGAAAGGAGAGAGAGGGTGGGGGAGGGAGAGAGAGGGGGAGGGAGAGAGAGAGAGAGAGAGAGAGAGAGAGAGAGGAGAGGAGAGAGAGAGAGAGAAAACCCCCCTCCACAAAGACAGATAGGCGTATATACGGTCCTATGGATAATGGCCCACTACCAATAGGCTGCATACATGCGTACTGATGGCGGGAAGGGGTTAAAGTGGTTGCATACCCTGTGAAGTGACTGGTCTCAGGCGATACACAGAAATGGAACAAATCCTCCTACTGAAGTTGTACCTGTTTATGCATTGTGTTCTCTTTTCTACATCCATTCAAAGATCAGAATTTATAAAGCTTGTCTCCATGGCTTCTCCAGACCCTTTCACATCTGTCACATATGCTCAGAGTGAACCTGCTCTCACCTGTGAAAAGCACAGGGCACCAGTGACGGACCTGCCAATTCTGGTGTTCAATGGCAATTCCAATCGAGCTCTATGGTGACGGGCAGTGAGCACAGGTCCACTGGAGGATGTCAGGCCCTCAGGCCACCCTTATGAAGTCTTTCTGATTGTTTGGCCAGAGACATTCACACCAGTGGCCTGCTTGAGGTCATTTTGTAGGGCTCTGGCAGTTTTCATCCTGTTCCTCCTTGCACAAAGGAGCAGATACCAGTCCTGCTGATGGGTTAAGGACCTTCTACAGCCCTGTCCAGCTCTCCTAGAGTAACTGCCTGTCTCCTGGAATCTCCTCAGTGCTCTTAGAGACTGTGCTGGGAGACACAGCAAACCTTCTGGCAATGGCACGTATTGATGTGCCATCCTGGAGGAGCTGGACTGCCTGTGCAACCTCTGTAGGGTCCAGGTGTCGCCTCATGCTACCAATAGTGACACTGACCCTAGCCAAATGCAAAACTAGTGAAAAACAGCCAAATAAGATGAGTAGGAAAAAAATGACAGTGGCCTGCATTTGTAAAACCATTTCTGTTTTGGGGGTCATCTCATTGTTACCCATCTAGTGTACCTGTTGTTAATTTCATCAACACCAAAGCAGCTGAAACTGATTAACATTGCACTCTGCTACTTCACTGACCAGATCCATATTCCAAGAGTTTAATTGACTTATGCTATACTTTGATTAAAAAGTGTCAAAAACAAGAAGCAGTGAGCACAGTTTTAGGGTACACAGAAGATCAACTCTCTCGAGAGTGTTGGTTTTCCAGTACAGCTCAGGTGGTGATTGTTCTGTTTGGTAGAGTTTGGCAACAGCAATGGTAAGTATTTACACTCTACTTTTGCAGGTATATTTTCTTTGCCAGAATCGTTGAAACCGTGTTGCTTTAATCCCTGTCACCCGGCAACAGTAGTGTGCTTCCTTGTAAAGCTAGGATTTCACAAATCATTGTTGAACAGTTTGGATGTTTGGTCATTTCTTGTCTACAAGGTTCCCCTATTTCTCTACAACAGCCCTCAAAATTTCTACTCACCCGCTCGTATTGGGCAAGTGGAAACTACGTGGGGGCGAGCAGCATCAAGACTAGAAGTGTGTGGGTGGAACGGTGGTGGGGGCAGTTACAAGCATCAATTTCCCTGTAAGGTTTTCAGTGACGCAACTGAAAGCTGCAGAAGGGAGAGGAGAAGCGGCTTACAGCGGCTTCATTGAAGGCCATACAGGGAGATCGCTGCTTGTAACCTGCCCCCACCGCTGCACCGGTCCTTCAGTTTCTTTCCAGGCCCCTCATGTGTGGTCCTCGGTGCCCAGCCTCTCCCTCTATCCTTCTGCCTCCCCCTGTGCCTGCCCCCACACTCCAGTCCATGCAGCTTCTCAGAAGAGGATGTGTGGGCAGGAATTATTCTACAGAGAAGCCGTCAGCCCTGTGATAACAGAGCCACGTGAGTTTGACCTTCCCTTCCCGCCTTTCCTTTCCTTCCCTTCCCGCCCCTCCTTCCTTTTCCTTTTTCCTTTTTCTTTTTTTTATTTTTCCTTCCTTTTCCTTTCCTTTTTCCTCTTTGCTCACCCCCCTGACCTCCGCACTGTGCGTCATTTTGTTTCACTCTTGATGTAAAGCACTTATTTTCCTTTTATGTTTACATTGATTTATGTCAATATTGTTAAAGTTGTTTTTGTTAATATTTTCTGTTGTACCTTTATTCTGCATAAAATACTTAACAGTGTAATTTCATGAGATCATTTATGAGGGCGTGTTTAGGGGTGGAACTAGAGGCGGGTCAGGGCAGGGGTTGGATGGGGCAACCGGTGGCAAGTAACTCTTAAGGCCTGGCTAGTAGCTCAGGACTTGAAATTTTAAGCCCTGGTCTACAAGATAGTCATTAATCACTGTACAGCTCATGGAGGTTGATATAAAGCAAGAGAAGGCACAAAACCATTATAATTCACAAAACATGTCTTAATTAAAGAAAAGGTAGAAAAAGGATGAAATGATTTCTTAAATGCAATGCCCTGTATTTTTGTCATTCCTATATATTTCTAAAAAAGAAACACTTTCATTTTAAGCTTCCTTTTTTTTCCAGATATGGTAGAAAGGGTAAACCAGGTAACAGATGCATTAATTCCTGAACTTTCCAAAAATAAGATAATTTGGCATTTAGCTGTGTCTTTCGTGGTAGTGCTCAACCTGATCGCATGTGTGGTATTCTTCTTCTGCTTTGTAAGTATAAGTATATATAGTATATATGATTTGCTTTTATTTATTTCTTTACCAGCTGTTGTTTTTTTTATACAGGAATTGATTCATGTTTCTGTTTTTGTGTTAACAGCAATGGCAACGGCAACAGCTGCAGCAACAGATGAATGAACTGGATATAGAGTCTCAGCCTAACTGGGAGGATTTCAAGGCTGAGACTAATGGTCTGAGTTTAGAGTTAGAGGCTGAAACTAAAGACTCTTACGCTCCTTGATTCATCAGAAAAGTCTTTTCCTTCGACCACCTCCTCGTAAGAATAAAAAGACCCAAAATCTAGAGTTTATACAGATTGCCAAATCTGTGTGGATTCGGTGAACGTCCGCTTGGTTCGCCTAGGCGATCCAAAAAACATGGGAGCCGGTACCTATCAAAACTATAAAAAAAAAAATGGAGGAAGGGAGGAGGAGACAAAGCGGACACACCTAGTATAGGTGCAAAAGGCTAGTATTCTACTGCAATACACTATCCTTTATACAGATATAGATTTTAAAAGTAATCCTGTAGGACAGGGCTTGAAATTTCTACTCGCCTGCTCGCCAATGGCGAGTGGAAATTATGGTGGGGGCGAGTGTGTCCCCCGGGGCCGTCTTGCTGAGCAGGCTCGGAGCTCAGGCAGGATCTGTCATTGGCAATGGGAACTGTCAGACTGCTCAATAGCTGAGCGCAGTGAAAGCAAAGCAAGGAGTGTGTGCTCTGCTCTCTGCCTACCCCCTAGATGCAGTACCCAGATCTGTGAGTGAACAACGAAGTACTGCAACATTTTATGGGGGGGGGGGTGTACGTGTACATGTGTGTGTGTTTGTGTGTGTCTGTGTATGCATGTACAATTGTACATGTGTCTGTGTGTATGTACATGTGTGTATCTGTACATGTGTCTGCGTGTATGTACATGTATGTGTACATGTGTCTGTGTGTGTACATGTGTGTGTGTGTGTGCATGTACATGTGTGTATGTACGTACATGTGTCTGTGTATGTATGTACATGTGTCTGTGTGTATGTACATGTGTCTGTGCGTGTGTATTTCTGTGTACGTACATATATCTGTGTGTATGTGTGTCTGTACGAGCCTGTGTGTGTATACATGTGTCTGTATGTGTGTGTGTGTGTACATGTGTCTCTGTGCATGTGTGTACATGTTTCTGTGTGTGTGTATGTGTATGTACATGTCTGTGTGTGTGTACAGGTGTCTCTGTTTTTGTGTGTTTGTTGGTGGCGAGTAACTCTAAGGTCTGGCTAGTAGCTCAGGACTTAAAATTTTAAGCCCTGCTCAGGGGCGATCTGACCATTGAAAACTCGGGTCATTAGGGGACCCCATAAGATGCCCCTGGTACCTTTTTCATAGGCTTTTTTGAGTTTGGGCAAGGACACAGGGGCCCCATGATCCCCTATTGCCCGGGGGCCCCATGAGTTGTCAGTCCACCCCTGGCCCTGCTGTAGGACACCAGTAATAACATTCTGGCTAAGAAAATCAGTAATATTTGGCTTGCTTATCTCATGCAGTTATAAGCTCAAATAGAAAAGTCTTAATGTATAGTCCAAAACACTGATGGCAGCCTCAATGGTGAACTTGAAGCAGATTCTGCAGCACATAAGAGAAGAAAGGAGAAGAGGCACCCGTAAGTGTAGACTGTAAGGGGTATGCAATTTATGAAATCGACAATTGGCAGCTCACTGTGAACATGCTGAACCTGGGTTTTTTTCCTGCCTATAAGTGCCCCTGCCTCTAACTGCCTGTAAATGCCTAGGTGTTTAAGGACACATAGGCTAACATAGAGGGGCATTTAGAGGCAGAAAAGAAAAGCCTCAAGCACCCTTAAAAGTGCGCTTTTGATGACCAGTGTGTATGAGGCCTTAAGGAATTTTCTCTTCTGGATGAATGTTCTTAGGCCCATTTTTTATTTTTTACTTAAAGTTCCACTTCAGGTGGCCATACATTGATCGAAATTCAATCGGTTTAGCAGGTATCAGAAGAATTTCGATCCATATATGGACACTGTGATGAACAGAAGTTGATCTACCGATTTGAAACGATCTCCAGTAGTTCCACCCTGCAGCAGTTGAAAGCAGAAGGGAGGGACAGGAGGAAGGCTCCCTTCTTTCTGATTCTCAGTTGACCGGGCCACCCTGTTGAACTGATGGGGCCAAGGCCCCATATAGGAGGACCAGCGGTACCCCATTATCTGCGGCTCTGCTGCAGCCCTGACCAAAAACAGGACCATTTGTAAAACTTTTATTCATTCAGCTCCTGAAGCTAATTGGCTAATCAGTGTATTCTGACAGGAGAAGAGTCCCCGCTGTCAGAATACAATAGCACAGGGGGAAGGAGCCATCCATTTACTTGGCTTGCGTGGATAGAGGAATCTGTTTTGTTTTGATCAGTTTAATGACTGATTAAACAATCCAGAAAAAGATCCGTGTATGGCCAACCTAGTGCTAACTATTCTTAAAAATGTTCCCTCCCCCCACCTCCTACCCATCCTGCCTCTATCAGTTTGGTCCAGTCATGTGATTCTGCTGCTTCGGCTTTCCTGTGCAAGGGAGTGCTCAAGATTGGCTGTGAATTCCAGAAGCCATGATGTCACCTACAGGCTCTCATGGCCCAGCTGTAGTTGTTGATCCCTCCTCTCCCCTGTAGCATCCACTCGCTGACACAGGGAAGCTGGAGCTGCAGGATTCTCTGTCTGGACTCGAGCAGCTTAAAAAAAGGTAAGCAAACAGTTCTGTTTATGAAGGACCGGTAGAAGGAGGGGAGATAGAATGCTTCCTCTTTTTCAAGAGTCAGCCCAAGAGATGACCATATATATTTAGCTACACACAGAAACTGGGACCACACCATGTGTACAGTATCTCACAGAAGTGAGTACACCGCTCACATTTTTGTAAATATTTTATTATATCTTTTCATGTGACAACACTGAAGAAATGACACTTTGCTACAATGTGAAGTAGTGAGTGTGCAGCTTGTATAACAGTGTAAATTTGCTGTCCCCTCAAAATAACTCAACACTACAGCCATTAATGTTTAAGCCGTTGGCCCCTAAGTGAAGATGTCCAAATTGGGCCCAATTAGCCATTTTCCCTCCCAGGTGTCATGTGACTCATTAGTGTTACAAAGGTCTCAGGTGTGAATGGGGAGCAGGTGTGTTAAATTTGCTGTGATCTCTCACTCTCTCATACTGGTCACTGGAAGTTCAACATGGCACCTCATGGCAAAGAATTCTCTGAGGATCTGAAAAAAAAGAATTGTTGCTCTACATAAAGATGGCCTAGGCTATAAGAAGATTGCCACCAGACCCTGAAACTGAGCTGCAGCACGGTGGCCAAGACCATACAGTGGTTTAACAGGACAGGTTCCACTCAGAACAGGCCTCGCCATGGTCAACCGAAGAAGTTGAGTGCACATGCTCAGTGTCATATTCAGAGGTTGTCTTTGGGAAATAGACGTATAGTGCTGCCAGCATTGCTGCAGAGGTTGAAGGGGTGGGGGGGAGTCAGCCTGTCAGTGCTCAGACCATGCGCCGCATACTGCATCAAATTGGTCTGCATGGCTGTCGTCCCAGAAGGAAGCCTCTTCTAAAGATGATGCACAAGAAAGCCCGCAAACAGTTTGCTGAAGACAAGCAGACTAAGGACATGGATTACTGGAACCATGTCCTGTGGTCTGATGAGACCAAGATAAACGTATTTGGTTCAGATGGTGTCAAGCGTATGTGGCGGCAACCAGGTGAGAAGTACAAAGACAAGTGTGTCTTGCCTACAGTCAAGCATGGTGGTGGGAGTGTCATGGTCTGGGGCTTCATGAGTGCTGCCAGCACTGGGAGCTACAGTTCATTGAGGGAACCATAAATGCCAACATGTACTATGACATACTGAAGGAGAGCATGATCCCCACCCTTCAGAGACTGGGCCGCAGGGCAGTATTCCAACATGATAACGACCCCAAACACACCTCCAAGACGACCAGAGGCTGAGGGTAAAGGTGATGGACTGGCCAAGCATGTCTCCAGACCTAAACCCTATTGAGCATCTGTGTGGAAGGTAAAGGAGCACTAGGTCTCTAACATCCACCAGCTTCGTGATGTCATCATGAAGGAGTGGAAGAGGACTCCAATGGCAACCTGGAAGCTCTGGTGAACTCCATGCCCAAGAGGGTTAAGGCAGTGCTGGAAAATAATGGTGGCCACACAAAATATTGAAACTTTGGGCCCAATTTGGACATTTTCACTTAGGGGTGGACTCACTTTTGTTGTAGCGATTTAGACATTAATGACTGTGTGTTAAGTTATTTTGAGGGGACAGCAAAATTTACAATGTTATACAAGCTGTACACTCACTACGCCACATTGTAGCAAAGTGTTATTTCTTCAGTGTTGTCACATGAAAAGATATAATAAACTATTTACAAAAATGTGAGGGGTGTATTCACTTCTGAGAGATACTGTGTATATCTTTAAAGTGAGGTTTATGTACAGTGAACAATAAACACACACCAACAGCAGCAAACATGAAAACGCATGAAAATCAAACTGAACAACTAAAGTGCAGAAACCTAAACTACTAACTAAATGTACAAATATGTACAAGTGTGAAATATGCAAGACAGGGGAATTCTGGGGAAGCAGAAGGGAAGGGGGAAACAAAACTGAGAAGGAACAAGGTAACTGGGAACTGTATACAGGGCAAGAGCAGAATCAGGAATTAATGGCAACAGAGTCTGGCAGCACAGCAAACAGGATACAAGACAGGAGCAACCAAAACACTGATGCAAGGAGCCATAGCCAAAGTGGAATTGAAGTACCCTCCAAGCAGGTATGGCCAGGTGGAGCTGATTGCTAGGAGACACCTGCTGACTACTGGAAGACACCTACTGATGGACACTAAAACTGCAGCTCTCTGCCCTGGGAAGCAGAGTGCCATCAGCAGGAGAAACAGGTCATGACACTCTTCTTCTAATACAACTGTAAGGGCTCATGTACTCAGCCATACAGGGGCATCCAGAGCCTGGATGCAGCTGACGCACACAGCCACCCATAGACTTTAATTCGAAAGTTCAGGCAAGTTGCGGGTATGCACAGAGGGTTGCATAAAACACCCACATGTACACATATGCCCCAATACAGTCTGTATTCAGAGCATACATTCATGCACATACAACTTCTTCCAAGTGATATGTATAGGTAGCTGTGGGTCTCAGGAAGGTGTTTTTGTGGCTTGTATAGTGCGAATCAGCGTTTTTTTTTTCTTTTTTTTTCTATATGGCAGGAATGTGTGCAGGCAGCCTATGTTATGCTATAGGGATGCATTGACTGTACGAATACAGCTGCAGGTCCTAATTTGACAGGTGTATGGGAACAGGTATGCGGCTTTGAACATGGACAGTGTACATTTGAGGCCACTCACCCACACCTGTTTTTTTTTTATTTCTACATTACCATTTTTTTTTAAATTCATTTTGACAATCTTATTTTTGTATTATTTTTTACAAATGTATTTTTTATTATTTTTTTATAATTTTTTAAAAATTCATTTTTAAAATTAAATTTTTTATTAGTTTTTACAAATGTATTTTTAAAATTAATTTATACAATTTTTAAATTACTTTTTACAAATGTATTTTGTTTACGTCTTTTTTTAATAATTAATTTCTCCAATTTTTATTTGTGTATATTTTACAAAGGTATTTTTTTTTAATTCATTTTTGCTATTTTCATTTTTGTGTATTTTACAAGTGATATATTTTTTTTACTTTTTTTTCATTTTTACAATTGTATTTTTTGTATTTTTTTTTTACAAATATATTTTTTAGAATTTTTTAAAAATTCAATTTTAAAATTGTAATTTTGTATTATTTTTTACAATTTTTTTAACAGCCCCGTGGGGGCTTTAGTGAAATATCAAGGGTTTAAACAGGTCCCTGATGTTTCACTTTTCTGACAGAGAAAGTGTTTTACTCAATCAAGTGGTCCTCAATCTCTATCCCTGCATCCTCAGCTACACAAAATTAATAAACAGGAAGAGCTCTGACATTATTCCTGTTCATTCACAAAACTGAAACATAGTAAACACAGTTTGTTATGCTTTAGTTATAAATAAACACATTGAGTGAATTGTACTGATTACTCACTGTGTTTCATTCAGACAAAGAAGGGGCCAGTAAATATTAAATATTTACCGGCCCCTTTCCCTACTCTTCTTTATCAAACAATCCCCTGTA